GGAGTTTTTATAGTGGGTACTCAGGGATTATAGTAGAGAGAAGGATTAATGTTGAACTCGAGTCACTCTGCTGCCTATTTTTTCCAAGCAATTTAGTTTTGGTGTTTAGATACCGAAGCCATAACAAAATTTTGTTTTTAAGGTGTTACATAATTTTCAAATTTGAAAATGAGTGGCCTAGATTTCCAGAATTCTCAACATTCTGAGAAAATGATTTAGACTTCTCTTAAACTAAGTTGCACGATGCAATTACTAAATGGAAACTTAAGCAGAACTTGAGTATCATGTGCCTTGTTCTTGCTAAATATTTAATACAGTAACAGAGACAAAGTTGGCACTTGTTATTTGCCATTTCAAGGATGAAATAAATGGAGAATTGCACAGAAAAGTGTTTTTAGAAAAAAAATCCAATGCAAACTGTGACCTGAACATATATTCTTTTACTATCTTACCACTTTTACTGTCTTATCACTTCGGGCTACCCTGAGCTTTTTTCAGCTGCAAATCACATTGTTTTTGTTTCCACCATTTGTATTGTTTCCTGCCCACTTGCACACCCCTTATGGTCTCTTCCTGCAAATTAGATCAAATAAATCCCTAGGTCAATTTTTGCTCCCTGTTCCCATGACTGGAAGCGAAGGCAAGCTTCTCATTACCCACATTTGTTACAAACTCTAATATACAAACACATACATAGAATGAAAGAATAAAAGGAAGGAAGGAGGAAAGAAAGGGAAGGAAGAGGGGAAAGGGGAGAGAAGGAGAGGTTTGGGGAAGGGAAGTGGGGAGGAGAAAAATACTACTTTATTACCATTTTTTCCTCATAGGTGGAAAAATACCAGTAAAGTATTTTACCCCTTTATTGACAAATTGTCTCAGGGAAAAATCCTTACCATTTAATAAATGGTGGCTTTTCCTTGAACACGGGAACTATGTAAATCAAAGCTATGTGTTTCCAGAGATTAATTTGGAACCCGCAAATGTCACATTTCAGTTTTAAATTATATGCATACAAGAATGGAAATGATGAAAAGATGCCAATTATGTCATTAAATAGTAACTCATTTTACTAAACCAAAGTCTAAATTCTTGCCTTATTCTTGAAGCAGTTAATAAAACTCAGATCCAAACAATCCTTGGACAATGGGCATTACATTATAGATTTTATCACTTCTCACCAAAGACAGCAGAAATCCTATTGAACTATAATTAACTACATATTAATTTAAGAAAAAATAAAAAGAACATTTATACTTGGACTATTTCAGGCAAAGTGCCATGATGTCCTTACTATTTGTTGTTTAGTCTTTTAACAAATAAGTCCCTGCCGAAAAACAATAACACCTTATATAAAAAAAATTAAAGAAAATCTACACCTGTATTGTTAAAATGCACATGAAGACTACAATCACAGACCTTGGCACATAGTAAGCATTCATCAAACAGCCGTTGAGTAAATAAATTATAGCAATCTACTACATTTCCACACCAAAATATTACCTAAACTCTACAGTAAACTTTTTGAAATGTTTCTTTCTAAAGTCTTTTATTCTTGACAAAAGCAAAATCAAAGACAACATGGCTTCTTACTCCCTAAACTACATATTTACTTGGTCAACTGATGTCACCTTGTTGATTAGACTTAGGTGTCAACTAAGGGTACTTCTTATTGCCCTGAAAGGAAAATTGTCAGCAAGACTTGTAAGGTTCTCCTCAGACACTGCTTTTAATCTTCAGCACACAAATGAATAATTGAATAACCTCGTCATTACTGTGCTTTGCTTCTGTTTCTGTTTTGGAATTTAGATCAGTACCACTCATCTTGGGGGCTGCCAATCTGCTTTTAGTACTAGCAGCTAAGCCTCGCTTAGGTCAATGTTTAAATAATTTATGATTAATTAGAAAATAAAAACTGGAGACATGATATACTAATTATAATTTAATTCTCATTCATTCTTATGAATGTTGAGACATGTCAGTAAAGTAATTAAAATAGCAGTTGGTTCTTATCCTTCTTTGGCAATAGGCTTTTCATAATGAAAATCTGTGAAATGAGTACATAATTACTAAAATGTTAGAAGTAAAAAAAAAAAGTTTATTTTAGAACTTAGTAATTAAAAGTTTTTATTGAATGAAACTCTGGTATCTATGTTAAAACACAGCTCAAAAACAGTTGGAATCAATGTTAGTCATGTGTCTTAGTAATACAAAAACAAATGATACCACATTCCTTATATACAGGCATTTAGCATCCTCATTATTCAGTTTTATTAAGTTTCAATAATTCACATTAACCAATTATAATAAAACTATTATGTGTGAGATAGAGTGGCTGGCTGTTATTGAACTAAAGATAAGCAAGGAAGACATAGATCCCGTTCTAGTGGCAACACAACCTTGTTAAGTAAAGAAGTAGAAGATAATTTATACAAAAAGGTAGAGGTCCTAAATGAGAATAGTCATAAATCAAGACTATAACACACTATGAGACACTGTTTTCACATATTCTTCAAACCTCGTAAATCCTTGGGGTTTCAGCATAAAGTAAATAATTATTATATTTGTCTTATTAAAGAATGCCTGATTGGGCTTCCCTGGTGGCACAGTGGTTGAGAGTCCGCCTGCCAATGCAGGGGACACGGGTTCGTGCCCTGGTCCGGGAAGATCCCACATGCCGCGGAGGGGCTGCGCCCGTGAGCCATGGCCGCTGGGCCTGCGCATCCGGAGCCTGTGCTCCACAACGGGAGAGGCCACAACAGTGAAAGGCCCACGTACCGCAAAAAAACAAAACAAAACAACAACAAAAAATGCCTGATCGCATGATGCGGTACGTGGGCCTCTCACTGTTGTGGCCTTTCCCGTTGCGGAGCACAGGCTCCGGACGCGCAGGCTCAGCGGCCATGGCTCACGGGCCCAGCCGCTCCGTGGCACGTGGGATCCTCCCGGACCGGGGCACGAACCTGTTTCACCTGCATCAGCAGGCGGACTCTCAACCACTGCGCCACCAGGGAAGCCCAAAACTGAGTTTTTTTAAGGAATTTTATCATGGAACTATAAAGGTCTGCAATATTTACTGTTGTAAAAGTATGACTTTTTAAAAATAAATTTATTTATTTTTGGCTGCGTTGGTCCTTTGTTGCCGCGCACGGGTTTTCTCTAGTTGTGGCAAGCAGGGGCTACTCTTCCTCGTGGTGTGTGGGCTTCTCATTGCAGTGGCTTCTCTTGTTGCGGAGCACAGGCTCTAGGTGTGCATGCTTCAGTAGTTGTGGCACGTGGGTTCAGTAGTTGTGGCTCGCGAGCTCTAGAGCACAGGCTCAGTAGTTGTGGCGCACAGGCTTAGTTGCTCCGTGGCATGTGGGATCTTCCTGGACCAGGGCTCAAACCTGTGTCCCCTGCATTGGCAGGCAGATTCTTAACCACTGCACCACCAGGGAAGTCCAAAGTATGACTTTTTTTTAAATTAGCATTTTTCAACTTTATTTTTCTATTTTTATTTGAGCATTTTTTCCACTCATCCAAGTAGGAAGGGCTGAGCCTGCTCTTTATGAAATAAAATGGGCATTTTGCATAATATTTTATTGTGTTTCAAGACAAAGACTCTATCTCTCAGGTTAATAATTTAATTCAGCTTTAAAAATGATTTTAAATATGTAATTTATTTATTTATTTTTTGCGGTACGCGGGCCTCTCACTGCTGTGGCCTCTCCCGCCGCGGAGCACAGGCTCCGGACACGCAGGCCCAGGGTCCATGGCTCACAGGCCCAGCCTCTCCGCGGCATTTGGGATCTTCCCGGACCGGGGCACGAACCCGTGTCCCCTGCATCGGCAGGCGGACTCTCAACCACTGCACCACCAGGGAAGCCCTGTAATTTATTTATTTTATTTTATTTTTATTAGTTTTTTATATCAATATGGGTTGTCTTTTTTCATGTCATAGCAAATGGACATATATACACTACCAAATGTAAAACCGATAGCTAGTGGGAAGCAGCCACACAGCACAGGGAGATCACCCCGGTGCTTTGTGACCACCTAGAGGGCTGGGATAGGGAGGCTGGGAGGGAGGGAGATGCAAGAGGGAAGAGATATGGGGACATATGTATATGTATAGCTGATTCACTTTGCTATATAACAGAAACTAACACACCATTGTAAAGCAATTATACTCCAATAAAGATGTTAATAAAAAGATACCTATTTGAAATTAATTAGAGGAAACATCTTTTTTTACTGGATATAACATTGTATTGGTTTAAGGTATACAACATAATGATTTTGATAAATGTATATTTTGCAAAATGATTACAAGTTATTATAATAGGTATGATTTTATATAAAATATATAAAGTATATATTAAATATATATTTATTGAATTAAGAACAATGGATAAGTTAATAGATTTTAGTATTTCAACTTTTATCAGTGATTGCCATGATTATTCTGGGGAGAATACCTTATAATATTGTCCTCTCAAACTGACAGATGGAGCTTATTCCACTGGAAATATTAAATTGAGGAGTATATCACAGGGCAATTAAGTTCTGCCTTTTACTGATCACTGTTTACATTTGTTTCTGATTTCCCTCTACTTAAGCCTCCCTGACTATTTATAGCTTTCTCTCACTCTCTGCCTCCCCTTTCTTTATGCCTATGCGTGCCACATATTTCATTATCTATATCAGATTTTCTGAAATCCCCATTTTTATTAGTCAACATCCTCTATAACTGCCTTTTCTTTTCTTTTTCCACACTCCTCCTGTCCGATATGTTTATTTTATATCCATTGTATGTTTGTAAAGGAAAAATATACAGAAGGACAGAATAATAACTCACATTTTCTTGCCCTCAATGAAATATCCAATAATCTATTTACCATGTAGGCAGGGAATGTCAATTCTTTATACAGTTACGTAGCATATTTTCTGCTTTAGTTCTTTATATATCAAGGACCACCATCAGTGGTGGAAACAATGACACAGGTATAAATGCCAGGACTTACCTGAGGTCTTGGGAAGGTTCTGCTCTGATGTGAGGTGTTTCAACAGAGTGCCCGAACACTGCTCCTTCAGTGCCTGAGGATAACGTGAATCCAGGAGTCAGTATAAGCAAGTGTACAGATACACTGGTTTTCATTACTACTGTTATGTACCAAATATTCTCCTAAAAATGGGACAACTGAAAATAGGAGTACAGAAAATAAAAGAGAAAAATTGGAAAAGGAGTTTGTAAGTGAATTTGAGGGAGGGCTAGGTCGCAATATTCAGTTCTTTCTACAAGCAGCAAAGCTTGAATGAAAATGTGGAGAGTGAGCTCTGATGTAGTATAGTATTGTTTCAAGACATAGGTCCATAGGGCAGTTAGCAATTTGCCCACAAGCAGCACTAGCCTTTAGTTAGAGTGATCATCGAACTACAGAGAACAGGGCACCTTACTTTGACCTTTCTGGAATTAAGGCTCAATCTAAAACCATGAACGGCTTGAGTTCATTAGAGTGGACTTCACCTGGGATCATAGTTATCTGAAGAGGTGATGTGCTCAGGTAGTTGAATGATACTCTATCTAAACTTTCATTTATTGACTCCATTGGATTTTCCAGGTTGACAGAGCTTTTTCTAATTTAACTGAGCAAAATAAAATGATTTCCCTTTCCCAAAATCAAATGCAAAAACACTCGTTAAAGATGATGAAAAAACAGCCTTCTTTTTTTTTTCTTTTGTAATTTTCCATAAATGAGATCATTCCCTTCAGAATAAACTTTATTTTCTTTTGGTTTAATCATCTTCAAACATCTCGGTGTAACAATGTCATGGCTGCTCCATCAATGGCCCCAAGAGTAGCTCAACAATACAATGCAAGTAAAAAATACAAATTTTACACCTACGAAGTGAAGCTTCTTCTACTTATCATGAAGAACAATATTAAATATATTGATTCAATAAGCAATGAAAAAATTGCCACTAGGAAATTAGAGCTAACATTTAAATTCCTTAAACGTAAGTGTATATGTAGGG